AAATGTGAGTGACCACGCCTCCGCCCAGTTCCTGGTACTGGGATAACAAAATCCAACATCTTTCACCCAGTGCTAAGCGCTATCCTGTGAGGTGAAGTAGTCATTTTCGTTTTCTTTGGCAACCACCGAAGGCCTCTAATCTGGTAGGTCGCATTGGTTGATCACTACACGTATTGCAACTTATCTCCACTGCATCTTTCCCGGTTGATAGTCCATTATCACTTATATACTTGCCATCTGTCTCCCTCCTTACTATATTATACGTGTAATTTTCCTTTGAGCCTAGTGATGGCTCAAGAAACTTCTGTTAGCTTAAGTTTGGATTGATATTCTGAAAATTAGTTTCTGTTGATAGAGGGAATAGTATGTATCGGATCATAATGGAATAGAACAAAATAAAATATCATTTGATTGTTTAAATATTTTATAATTAAATGATACAAAGATATCATTCTTGAATACAGACGATAAAATAAGGTATAAAAGTTACTTTCCATATATTATCATTATTCTGAAAGTATTTTATATTCTATTTGTTGTGTATATATATGCATATATATGTATACACACGAAAGAATGCTCTGCCCATCATACACTATAGAATCTCCCATCATGACGACCTTCGAAAGCACTCAGACATTTGTTAGAATTGTCACAATCTCCCAATCAAAAATCATATAAACTAAGGGATTGTGGTTGAATGTTAATTTAAAACTTCTTAAGATCTACTGGTGAATTATGGTTGAATGTTAATTTTAGTAATTGTACGAGATTTAGTGAAATTGAAGCGAGTAATAGTATTTTTAGAATTATTAATCATGTAAATATTAGATTCCTAGAAGTAAGTAATTTGATAGGTCATTATACCTTTTGAATTAAATATTATAAATATAATACTTAAAATAAGAAGAATGTTAAAAAAATCATTCTTAATGTAATTTTCTATTACATATTAATATTCAGTAAAATTTACCAAAAGTATATGATCGATCAGATTGGTTTCAATCGATTAAAACATATTTCAATCGATTAAAATAACTTGGAAAAATTTTGTACAGAGTTTCAATCGATTAAAACGAGTTTCAACCGATTAAAACAACTTGGAAAAATTTTGTACAAAGTTTTAATCGATTAAAACTTCTTTTTATCAGCTAAAATAACTTGGAAAGTTTTATAAGAAAGTTTTGCAGTATATCAATCGATTAAAACACGAAACAATCGATTGAATCAAACTTGAAAAGTTTTGTAAAGTGTTTTAATTGATATAACCGTTGTAGTATCAGCTAAAACAAATCTGTTAAAGAATCAAGAACGTATTAATGGATTGAAAGGACTTTTAACAGATTGAAACGGCTATTTCAACAGATTAATTAATGCAGCAGTTTTTAACATTGAGATATTCTTTTTCATTCTTTTTCATACATTGAGATATTTCTTAACTAACACAATCTAATGATGCGAAGTAGATGCACATGCAACATTGGGGCATGTTCTTCTGCTATGACCAGGGGTATGACAATTTGAACAATTTTTAATCCTACTTTGATTTTCTGTAATGTCCATCTCAGTTCTTATACGACTTGATTTTGGTCGGCCCTTTGAAGTTCTTTTCATTTCTGGATTTGCACACAAAGTAGGTCCTGTGTATGTTGGCCAATATTCTTCATTTCGCGATAACCCAATTGTGTTCCGTATACCTTTGAAACTTGTTGTAAGGTATACACTGAATTAATATAGTTGTTGAAGTCATGGTGTGCATGTTTGCATGCAGCAAGAACATGTGAAAAAGGCATGTGAAATTTTTGGAATTTCCCACAGTCACACCATAACTCATCAAGGTGAACTGCAAACTTCCCTGCTGGTCGAACTACACGCGAGTTTTGTGTTTCTTTTACTACAAATTTTGTGGTAGACCTGTCAAAAGATATGACTCTATGCGTGTTTGCCTGTGTTTGAAGGCTTCATCGCTCAAGCGGTGACTTTTTCGCTTGAGCGAGTAATGACCGAATCATGAAACGCCAAACGCAGTTAGCCAAATAATATAACTTGGTTCACCACATATTAGAATCACTTGTCGCTCAAGCGTTCATAATGTCGCTTGAGCGATAAAGAACCCGAGAGTCCCCCATTTTTCCAGGTGTCCTCGCTCAAGCGAGGTGATTTTCGCTTGAGTCACCTTAGATAGCGGTTGCTAACAACCGCTTTTAAAAATATATATTAGATAGCGGTTAGCTTTAACCGCTTTCTAATGTAGTTGTTTAGATAGCGGTTGGCCATATAACCCCTATCTAAAGTCATATATGTCAAAGTGATCGGCTATAATTGGATAATAATCGATTATAATTTTCGCTCAAGCGAGGGTTTCTTCGCTTGAGCGAGAATTTACCCCAGAATACCCTTCGTTAAAGAATACCTCGCTCAAGCGAAGGTTTCCTTCGCTTGAGCGAGAGTTCAGTACGCGAAATAATATTATTTTAATACGTGAACAGTAAACCGTGCTAGTTGTGTAAATAAAGTTGCAAAGGTGCTATTTTGGTAAATATTTTTGAAAACAGTATTATTTATGAAATTGCCCCTGTAGAAGTGTGAACGCATGAGGCACCAAAATTCAAAAAATGACTCACACCATTCCCTTTAAAAAGTCTTTGATGCTTTTCGGTCATTAATGGTGATTCTAGGTGGTGTTTGAATTTCACAGTCTTTTGTTAATCATAAGAATTTTCGATAATTTTATTTTGCAAAAATTAAAATATTTACGTAAAATATTTTTAATAGAAAATAAGAAAAAATGCAATTTTATGAAAATATTTTGATTACTCAATATTATAAAATTTAAAATAACTTTGAAAAAGATAAATTCTTTTTCTCTTTTCTTTTGTAATTAAGTCTGGTTTATTAAAGGAAGTCAACTGTTAAAATAAAAAATCTATAATAATAATAACAATATATTAACCAAAACTTTTCATAATATATATATATATATATATATATATATATATATATTGAAAAATAATAGGTTGAATCATGATTTTATTTTACTTTTTTCAATTATCATGCACCATTTTATATCATCATCTATTAAAGTAAAAAAAAACGTAAAGTAGATCAACACAATAATTTTATACTACTTCGATTATATTCTGTTCTTATTTTAAACCCATAACGTTTTATTCTGAACTTAAAAATACAATTATTATTTTACAAGTTATTACTATTTTTTTCAAGTAATGTATTCAAGTTTTTTTATATATATAATATAGAGATGTATCTATCTCTTTTTTTCTTTTCATTTCTATTTTGTTTTCTCGATTAACAAAATCATTAATATATAGAGAGAGAAAAACTAAGGGAATAAATAATATAAAAATATTTATTAGATTAATTTCAGAGAAAAATTTAAAAAGAGAAAAAATTCCACAAATACAAGTAAAAGTAGAAACATGAGAATGTGAACTTTTTTTTCTTAAAAATGTTCACAATGATTTTTTTATAATAAAATATCAATTTTTTTCTCTTAAAAAAATATAATTGCGAGAACGTGAAATATTTGTTTATTTTATTCATATTTTGTTTTTATTATCATCTTCTAGTGTCATTTTGTATATTATCAAACAAATCTTCAATTATTTATATAATATTCAATTCTCTATAGAGAATTATGAAAAAAAAAACTGTATATGAACAATATATAAATTTATAATAAAACAATTTTTTAAGATTAATGTAAAATCCGTTAAAAAGATAAAAAATAAAAAAATATTTTTGATATTATTGATTGATATAAATTTCAATCTATGTCTAAGTTACAATTTATTTAAAATCTTGTAAAATTAGTATTTTAATTTTTTAGAATATTCAAAAAATAATGATATACTTGATAAAAAATAATTACTACAGTTCTAAATTTCACAAACGTAATATATTTTAAAATAATAAAAATATTATTTTTTTAATAATATATTATATTACTTGACTATTTAAAAATCATTAATTAAAATTTGTTATTGTATATAAATCAACGAGAGAATTATGTCAATTTATAAACGTAAAACTAAATAATGTTTAAGATAATAGACTAATAAATATTATTATTGATAAATATTATATATGTTAAAATGGTAAATATATTAAATAAGTTTATAAAATGAAATTTATATTTAAATTATATATTATAATTTACTTCATGTGTAATAGAGGTGAATATTGAAGAACTTTAGAGAAACTACGTATCTAAACCAGTTTGAGTATACTTTACATGTTACTTTAATTTAATAGAATTTTTTACATAGAATACGATTTGTTTTCTTAAATTAATTAGATGATTTCATTAACCTTAATGGTTTTTTCTAATTTATTTTAATCAATTAATTGAATATGAAAAAAGCCTAAGTAATGGATAAACTTTTAGATAGTGAAAATTATAATTAGAGTATTTTATGAAACGTAGGTTTATGAGATACACCGAAAAATGGTACAATTTAATAGAATTGTAGTACGGTTGTTAATATTTACATAGAAGTTTATGTTTGACAGAGTGAGTGCAGGAAAACTTATTGTGATTGGGTGGGTGCAGTTAATGTCGTCATAGAGAGAATGAGTGATAAACGACCTTATTTTCTATTTTGATGCACTAGCCGCAAAATTTAAGTGCTCATTCACCATGCCAACAAAGTCACGCTTTTATTTTTTTTTATTTTTAAATTTTAAATTACTTATTTATTTATTATCGATATTGTGATTTATCTAGTTCTACCTATTTTGAAATAACTGTTTTCAATTTTTATAAATTAACTGAATTTTGATTTTAGTTTTTACAAAATACTTTTTCTAATTTTCATCCTTTCAAATTGAAAATATCTTCTTTTTTTTGTATGAACGTTCATAGATTAAAATTTTAAAATAATAGATAATGGCTCTTTGGTTATTTAAAATCCAACTCCTACATAAACCCTCTCACCCATTAACACAGACATGTTCATTCATGCATACACACAACAACAATGACATTGACACGCCATTCCCTCCTTTCTCTGTTATTCTTCGCATCCACTCTCTCTAATCTCGCCTTTACCGTCACCGCCGGTGACGTTTCCGGTGACACCGACTTCATTCGTGAAAGCTGCAACACAACGTTGTACCCTGACCTGTGCTTCTCCTCGCTCTCTCGCTACGCCGGCGCGGTGCAACGCAGTCCCGCCGGCCTTGCGCGAGTGGCCGTTGCCGTGGCGCTCGCCAAGGCGCACGGCGCGACGGCCTACCTCTCACATCAGACCGCCGCGGTAGTTGACGAGGAGTCCGACGCCGGTGCGGCCGTGCACGACTGCATCGCGAACCTGGAGGACGCGGTGGACGAGATCCGCGGCTCGCTGAAGCAGATGAGGCGGCTCAGACCGGAGGATAACTCCGGTGCGGTCCGGTTCGGGGTGAGCAACGTGCTGACGTGGATGAGCGCGGCGCTGACGGACGAGGAAACGTGCACCGACGGGTTCGAGGGCGTAGAGGAAGGTCCCATGAAGAAGAGCGTGTGCGATCGCGTGACCAGGGTGAAGAAGTTCACCAGCAATGCTTTGGCGCTGGTGAACGGTTTCGCTAATAAATTATAATTCACCATGAAGTTAAACGAACGCTTTCTCTGTCGTTTTGGTTGCTTACTTAGGCTTTTGGATTGTGTGTGAATGCTTCCTACAACTGTGTGCTCTCACTGATTATTAAGTTATTTTCAAATAGTAATTTAGTTTTATAAAGCTTTTGTTTCCTTTAAAATCTCCTCCTTCATTACTTATTTTTATCTTTTATATCTCTTTCTTTCTTCTTCTTCTTCTTTTATTTTCTTTAACTATTTTTATACATATCACAGTGGATATTTTTACATAGAAATATCATTTTTCCTTCATTTTTTATATAATTTATGGATCTTAGCTTCCTTTTCCGTCTTAATTTGTTTCTAACTTGAATTTTCCTAGTCCAAAACCATGTACATTTGTGATGAGAAATAGTAAAGATTGGAGTGTTTGATTTTTAAACTACATGTTAATTTTTAGAATTTGAGGTTTAACTAATTCAACAAAGTTAACTAATAAAGTGAGATGGTACTTTACTAATATATTTTAGGTTTTAATTTTTTTTTTCTCAACATGAATGAACCTGTTGATGTGATTCAAAAAATAAATGTTACTTTAAAATGAATAGTGTTAAGAGTGCTCATTCTAATAGTTGATATGTAATAATTAGTTTAGAGGATTGCTGATATATATGATACTAACAAAATTTATATGTAATGATTTTACTTAAAAAAAAGTATTAATTTCTAACTATTTATTATCAATATATCTTGTAGTAGAGGACATATTATGTATTATTTTCATATAAATTTTCATGAGTCTTTTTATCATACAACATATTATTATTGTATATTTTATCCTGAGTTGAGATGATGATTGAACATCATAGACTCAAATTATGCGAACAATCCATAGAATGAGAACCTATATTTTCTACGAGGAAAACAATCCATACAAATAAACTTTGAACCATTAATTTCAAAAGTTCAGCAATCACTTCAGTTATTACAGCAATTTTATTATTTTATTTATTTTGGTATGGAAGTAGTGTTATTTAGTGGGATTGATAAGCCACTGCCACAAAGACGGCAAAAGTTGCCAAACACAAACTTAATCATGATGACTCCTCAAAGAAACGTTGAGCTCACAAGTGTTGCAATCAACACATTTATATTTTTATAATTTTTTTTTATCCCGTATTATATTTTAAATAAGGCCTATGATTTTATATACCATAAAATTCCTATAAAAAATATAAATCCTAACTAAGATTATTCAATAGGAATAAAAATTTATAAATTTATTCATGCTCTAAATTGGAAAATGGTGGATGAAATTTTTATTTACAAAAAGAACGAATTTTTGAGACTAGGGTTATAGATTTGGATGTAGAGATAATTTATATAGGGCCAATGATGAAATTAGAAGTAGTCAACATTGCAAGAATTTATCATACAATTTATAACACACTAGTAAACTACTTCAAACCTTGAACTTTCTCTATGTTTGATCGAGAATGGAAAATCAATTGAAAAAGGCTCAGAAGCAGAAGGGTGTCTTTCCAACTGCGAGATTCGAGCAATCAAACATGAATAATCAGTTGACATGTAAAGGAGGAAATCCTGATGAAGGGCAACAAAGGTTAAAACTTGAGTAACATCAGCAAAAAATTCATGAAAATGGTCCTTAGCAATCGACTATCATATCACATCATAAAAAATATAACGCAATTTAATATCAATTGATGCCTGTCATATTTCTTTCTGCTCCAAATTATAGTATTCGGAGCTGCACCTGTAAAAAATAACTGACAGAAATACAGAACCCCACTATAGAATTCGAATGTATTAGAATACAGCAAACCAGGATCAGTTCATAATTTCTTCAACCAATAGCTTGTTTGAAGGAGTGATGAAATAACATCTGTACTGATGATCTTCTTGTTTGATGTTTCACAAAACCATATAGAAATTAGTTCCTTGAAATACTGATCCCAGCAGGGAGTAATTAGATTAATATTGATAAGAAAAAAGAAAACATTAGAATACATAACTAGAAACTACTTTGGTCCCTCCTTAGTCAATCACCATGACAAATGAACATAACTATGGTAACAAGTCTTTTCAAAAAATAGAGATACACAGAACACCAATAAGCAGAGAAACACAAATTACAATCATATATGGATCAAAGAGGTGATTTATAAGGTTATAAGTAAGAACCCAAACGAAAAGGAAACTAGTTCAATTTGACGAATGACACATAATAGCACCTAGGTTGAATGTTAAGCCTACCATAATAGCAACTCTCTATACAACTTGAATTCCTTTCCTATGCAGACATCTAAACCAGCCAGTGCAACTTCTCACACTTCTATCTGCACATCAATCCAAAATATGCTTAAATAACTCGCCTTAAAAATATTTTCAATAGGTAGTGCCCATGTTTTTAAATTGCAGAAAAATTTAGTTAAAACAGCCACAACAAAGATTTCCGATCAAAAGCACAACACAGTTCTGGATCACCGGTTAAAGCATGGTAGTGTCATACATGGCACATATTTTCATTGAGGCATAAAAGATAGCAACCAGTGCAAGTGATATCAAATAACAGAAAAGAGAAGCCAAAATATCATACTCATCAATAACAAACAAAAACACGAAAGAAAAGCACATTCACAAACTAGATCACCTAAATTTACAAAAAAAAGAAGAAGAAAGGAAAACTCTCTTCTTCTCTCGTTCATTCACTCCAGTACTTCTCATCACCCTCTTTCTCCTCTCCCTCGTCACTTTCCGACCCACTCATCTTGAAAGCATTCACATCCTCCGCAGCGGCGCTCCGAAACAACCCGACATCCACAGCGCCACTCACCATGCGATACCCACGTGACCTCATATTCCTCGCCCCATCAAACGCCGTGGCGAAGCCCGCAAGATAAGCCCCACTCTCAACGTCGTCGTTTCGGCTCTCCAACACCTTTCTCTCGGCCTCCCTCAACACCTCCCTGACCCTCTTGTTCCCCGGGTCCCACAAGTATCCTAAACTGGCGCTCAGATCCAACGGCCCCATTTGCACGCAGTCCAAGCCGTCAACGGCGGCGATTTCGCCGGCGTTAGCCACTCCCTCTTCGGATTCCACCTGGCACATGATCAGAAGCTCGTCGAGGTAAGTACCAATGTATCCTTCGTCGAGGCCGTATTTGGAGGCTCGGACGATGGGGTGGGCTGCGCCGCGGAGCCCGTCGGGAGGGTAGCGGCAATAGGAGACGGCTTGGTGGGCCGAATGGGCGGAGTCGATCATGGGGAACATTATGCCCTGTGGGCCGAGGTCGAGGGCTTTCTTGGCCCACGCGGCGGTAGACTCCGGGATGCGGAGGATGGCGGCGGTGTTGGTGGAGGCAAGCGCGTGGAGGCAAAAGAGCGCATCGCTGATGCCTCCGGGGCCATGCTCCATGTCGACGACGACGAAATCGTAGCCGGCGAGGCCGGCGATCTCAGCGAGGGTGGGGGAGAAGGAGAGGAGGAAGAGGCCGTAGAGAGTGTCGCCGTTGCGGAGGCGGGACTTGAGGTTGAGAGGGGAGAAAGAGGCGGCGGCGGAGGGGGTGGATTTGGGAATGGGGTGTTGGGTGTGGGGTTTTGAGGAGGTGGAGAGAGGGAAAGGGTGGAATTTGAAACTGGAAGGAGTGGGAGAACGGGGTTTCGGTTTTGGAAGAAGGGAAGAGAGAGGAGTAAGTGTTCGGCGAGAGTTGATGGTGGTGGTGGTGGTGGTGGCGGCGGTGATGCTCCCCATTTTTGCGTTGCTTCTAGCGTTCACCCTCCACACTACACTCAAATGATGGCATCTGAATCTCAGTGCCAATTTTGGATTTCTGAGATTTTTTTTTATTCAGGTTTGTTTGTTTGTTTTGTTGGAAGAAACACGCTGTATGTTAAAAGATAACGAAGAATAAACCTTAATAATAATATATTTTAAAATAAAAATTATTTATATGAATTTGTTTATTATTTATATTTTTTTTATAAATTTATTTTTTCTGTGTTTCTCTTTTATTTTCCATTTATTTTTCTAATTGAATTAATATATTAAAATTTAATAAAGATATATTAAAATAAACATTTTAAAAACAATATTAAAATTAAAAAATATTAATTAATTATTAAAATTATGAAAAAAATAATAATTTTATTTATAATAACATAAATAATTAATTTACAATTATTTTATCATAAAAAATAATTCCTCATTCAATTAAAAAAATCAAATATTCATAAATTAAATATATTTTTTATTTAATAATTACATCTAGTTATAATAGTTTTAAGTTATAATAATTTATTAAAATAGATAATTAAAAAAAATATTTATTAAAAAATAATTTAAAATAAATATATATTTTTAATAATTATAATATAGTAATATTTATAATATCTCAAGTTTATCTTATAATATTTTTTTAATATAATAATTTATTAAAATAGATAATTTAAAAAATTATTTATTAAAAAATATTTTAAAATAAATATTTAATTTTTTTAATAATTATAACAACGATAATAATATTTGTAATATTTTAAATTTATTTTATAATATTTTTAAAATATAATATATTAAATTATAGTATTTTCTATATTTAAATATTTTTATTTTTAGTAATAATAAAATACTTATATTATTAAATTTTAATTTTTTTATATTAAAAGATAAAATAGAATGAGAAAAGAAAAAGCAAAAAAATAAAATAAATAAAGAGAGGATAAAATATAAAAATAAATAAGAAAAGAAAGAAAAACATATGTATTATATAAAAAAATAATCTTTTATTAAATTTTGTATATTAACAATAAACAAATTTAATTGGGTAAATAAACCTAAAAATATTTATTTATATATTTTTTAAAATATATTATTTATGATATTATTCAAGAATAAATCTTAAAAATAATATATTTAAAAGAATTACTTAAATAAATTTATATAAATTAATTTATCTAAATAAATTTACGTACTTTTTATACTAAATTTTTCTCTTTTTTCCGTAAATTTATCTATTTATTTGTTTACATTTTCTTTTTCTCTTTTTAATTTTACCTTTCTTATCTTCCTTTCTTTCTTTTTTCACTAGTTCTCCTAATTAAATTAGTATATTAAAATTTAATAAAAATATATTAAAATAAATATTTTAAAAAATCATTAAAATTAAAAAATATTAATTAAATATTTAAAATTATGATGATAATAAATAATTTTATTTATTTCGATAATAAATATGATAATAAATAATTTTATTTATTTTGATAGTAAATATGATAATAAATATTTTTATTTATTTTGATAATAAATATCATAATAAATAAATATTCATATAATTAAAAAAAAATAAATACATTTTTATTTAATATTTTAATATAATTGTAAATAGGTTGAGTTATGATAATTAGTTATTTAAAAAATATTTGTTAAAAAAATACTTAAAAAGAAATATCTAATTTTTTTAATAATTATAACATACTAATAATATTTGTAATATGTCAACTTTATTATATAATATATTTTTATATAATATATTAAATTATAATATTTTTAGATTATTTAAATATTTTTATTTTAATATATTATTTTTAATTGAAAAATAAGATAGAGGGAGACAAAAATAAAAGAGAAAAAAAGAAAACAAAAATAAATGAAAAGAAAAACTAAAAAAATAAATGAAAAAAGAGATTAAAATAATTATATTATGTTAAATAAATTTATTTTTCCTCATTAAAATTTGTATATAAACAGTAAATAAACATAATTGAGTAAATAAATTTAGAATAATTTTATTTAAATATTTTTTTTCTTTTTAAATATACTATTTATTTATGTAATTTTTTAAAATATTTATGATACATAACTTTAGTTTAAATTAAATCATACAAGTTATTTTAGGTACTTTTATTTTATTTTTATTATAGAAAGTAATTTTATATTTATTTTTTAGAATTTTGATGATAAAAAATAAAGATAAATTATTGAAAATTAAGATTTTGATAGTTATGTTTCCTTCAATTTCAAACTGTTTATCACTCTTTTTTTACTTTAAATTATCTACGTAAAATGAATTAATTAGTAATACACCTATTTATAGAATTAATTAGTAATAACACCTCAATTAGTAATATACAAAGCGTTAAACATTCATAACTACATTTTTATCCTTCAAATATAAGCACAAAACTAGTAGCTTTTTAAGGCATGTTTTGGAGTACTTGAGATATTAAATGAAGAAAATAGTAAAAACATAATTATTAATTAAAAAAAACACTCCTAATTTATCGAATTAATATCATAAATAATATATTTTTAAAAATTAATTTAAATAAAATTCTTTCATGATTATTTATCCAACTAGATTGTTTTATTATTCATATATAAAATTTAATAAAAATAAATAAATTTGTGTTTTTCTCCTTTTCATCATTTATTTCTTTTAGTTTTTCTCTTTTTTATTTTTTCTCACCTCATCTTGTTATTAAATTAAAAATAATAGATTAAATTTTGATAACATAAGATAAAAATATTTAAATAATTTAGAAATACTATAATTAAATATATTAATATATTATATTTAAAAAGTATTATATAATAAATTTGAGATGTTACAAATATTATTATTATGTTATAATTATAAAAAATATTTATTTTAAAGTATTTTTTAATAAATATTTTTAAAATTTACTAATCTAATTAATTATCATAACTCAAAATATTTTAAAAGAAAAATTACTCAAATAGAATATATATATATATATATATATATATATATATATATATATATATATATTGTAATTTTTTTTGTCTCTTTCTAATTTTTATTTTTATTTTTTTCTCTTTTTCATTTTTTTATATATTGTTTATCTTATTTATCTTGTTTATCTCTTGATCTTGTACTCTCCTAACGGATCTACTATATTAAAATTTAATAAAAATATTAAAATAATTATTATCAAAATAATATTAAAATTAGAAAATATTAACTATTATTTAAAATTACAATAAAAATAAATAATTTTTTTTACAATAAATAATTTTATTTATGATGATGTAAATAATTAATTTAAAGTTATTTTATTATAATAAATAATTACTCATTTAATTTAAAAAATCAAATATTTATAAATTAAATATATTTTTTATTTTATAATTATATCTAGTTGTAATAATTTTGAATTATGAAAATTAATTAGATTAGTAATTTTAAAAAATTTACTAAACAATAATATAAAATAAATATGTAATATTTTTCTTAATAATTATAACATAACAATGATAATATTTGTAATATCTCAAATTTATTATATAATATTTATTTAAATATAATATATTAATATATTTAATTATAGTATTTCTAAATTATTTAAATATTTTTATTTTTCAGTAATAAAAAACTTATAATATCAAATTTTAATCTATTATTTTTAATTGAATAATGAGATTGAGTGAACAAGAGAGAGAAAAAATAAAGAAAGAAAAAAAAAGAAAAAAAGGAAAGAGAAAAAATATTTATGTTATATTAAACGAATTTATTTATTTTTATTAAATTTTGTATATTAAATAAAATTAAAAGATTCTATTTAAGTAATTTTATTTAAATATATTATTTATGATATTGATTAATTATCTAAATTTTATAAAAATAAATTATTTAAAATTTAAAAAAGTATAAGATCTATGGTAAAATAATATTTATGTTCATAAATAACTTTTATACACAGTTTTCAGTTAAATCTTCTTACTCCTTTAAAAGTGATATATGTCTTACGTAAAATATTTTCTCTACATGTACCAAAAATATGTTTTTATCTAATATATATTTTTTAAAAACTAATTAACTTAGTTAGTAGAATTAAATTTATTAATATCAATAATATTCATTCAAACTTATCTCGGATACTTTAACAATTAATATATTTTTTATTTAATTGTTTCTCATTTACTTAATTAATATTTGATTAAAAATAATTATTATGTAATTTATAACTATTAGAGAAACAGATCATTTCATCAATTATTAATGTTTATTATTTATTATTATATTCATTCATTCATTTAAGATATTTCAAGAAAACAAACCATTACAAAATCGTGTTATAAACAAATTTTAAAAGATATTAAAGTGATTATTTTTTCACATTTTATTTTACAGGGAAAAAAAAACTCCAGTGGCAGCAAAAAAGATCCACTACTCTTCTCGTACACTTACATCATAAATATTTACTTACATCACAAAATTCATGATCATAAATATTTACTTACATAAAAAAAATTCATGATAATAATAAAAAATAAGTGATTAGAATGTGCCTAACCTTGCATTGGTCGTTTCCCTCGGGGGTCTACTTCTGCAGTAGCACTGGAGCTGGGTGTTGTTGGTGCAGAAGTAGTATTATTAGTGCCAGAGTTGCTTGAATCATAAGTTTGTGAATGAGAGTCATCATCAACCCCAGAAGAAAACATTGCAGAGGGTCTGCGAGGCACTCTTCTGTATCTGGAACCAGGCATTCCTGGTCTTGTTGGTTCTTCCGTGTGGCTTGTTTTCTTTGACAGCATTACCACCACACGCCCCATGGTTGGACGTAGGTTTGGATCACCTTGAGTGCACAACAGACCCAGTTTAATGCACATTTCTACCTGTTCAGTTATCACTGAAGAGCCCAATGCAGGGTCCACCATTTCCAATGCCCTTCCTTTCTTGTATAGCCTGTATGCCTATAAGATCAAAGGATAAACAAAGTAGGGTTGGCAATGTTGTTTATTACAAGTAACACTTGATCTTAGAGCTATCAAATACAGTTCAACAGGTCGGTTTGAGATATTTAAACTGTGGCTTAATCAGATCAGATAGGATTGGTAAAATCCAGGCCCAAAAAGCTATTGGACTAGTTCTGCCCTTAGTTTCTGTAAAACATTTATAAAATAACATGAAAAAAAGAAAAACAACTTAATTTATTCTAGTAAAGTTGGGGATGAGCATAATCAATTATAATAATTTAATTAAGATAGTATTGAATGATAATATAATCGATTTTATTTTATTATTTATGTACAATTATGTATATTATTTATAGGGAGAATATTCTCCTGATTTTCGAGAGGTAGATCAGTGTATAAGTTTATTAATGATGGGAACATGACCATGAATAAGGGTAAAGATGCACTTGGAGGATCTATGACAAGGACTAAAGCAAGAGTAGTAAAGGAAATTTTTTAATAAGTATTGTCTATATTATTTGAATACAAGCTCATATTTTAAAGGAGAAAAGACCAAAGTTGTAAATTACATCATGGACCAAATAGAGGAGGACTAATGCGTCACTTTGTTTCAGTATTTAAGTTTGTTTAAATAATGACACAATCCTTTGTAAAATTGGCTGATCAAATTATGTTTTGGGTTAATCAATTAATGAGCTTTAGTTTGGTTTTGTTAAGTTGTAATAAGGACTAAATTGAAAACTTAGGCATAAGACCAAAATTGTGCATAGCTAAATGACTTTTGATTGTCACAATTTAAGTTACAATCAATATTAAATAGTTTTCAATTCCTAGGTTAATAAATCATTATTAACATTTATTTACCTCCCATAGTTTTCAATTCCTAAATTAATGGATAATTATTAGGATTTATTTTCCTTTATTGGGTCTTTGTAACTCTGATCGCAAAACTTCTATATAAGTTGAACCATTTTTATCAAAAATACAAGTTTAATTTTATTCAAAGTTTAGCTCTTTTATCTTAGTGAGAGTAATTCTCGTAAGTTTTTGAGTGATTGAAGAACCCTTCGCAGTATCAAAGGACTTTCACATCCTATGCAAGTTATCTCCCTTAGAAAGAGTGATTATTTCCTTTAACCTTTCACATTCACCTCTTTCCTTTATTCACCAGAATAAAAAATAAACTCAATATTTTGTGCAGATTTATTTCGTGGTCATAACTTTCGTTCTACTCATTCAAATTAAGTGTTTCTTGAGCCTAAATTGAAATTTAGAAAAAGAATTTTCATTTTGTTTTTCAATCACCTCAATCGGAGTTTTATAACTTGAGATATCGACATTTTAATAATTCTACCCAACCTTGAAACTTTCAAACTTTCTAATCCATCTTCTCGCTAATTTCCTACAAAATTCTAACCCTAAGGATCCTAAATCAACCCTTTTGCAAATGAGGTTCATATCAATTACCTTGTATTCTATTTATACCTCCTTTGTATCTTTTCCAAAATAAGAAATACACAACATATTTTTCGCATGGTATCAGAGTTTGATCTTGACCATTCCTAACCTAGCGTAACCAACCATGAAAGAGAGCAAGACAGGAGGTTCGACCACCAGTTTGGTCGAAGGACCTGTTCTTCCTATGGTCACAAATTGAATGACCAAAATTACCCTTAATGAATGCGTTCAGTTAAAATCTTCCTTCAAGAAAAGAGAAGGAAAATTACATCACTGGAGACTCCAAGTGTCCAGTAGAGGGTGACTCTAACCTCAACAAATGACAACTAGAAAACAATTTAGTTATGTCATGGTTACTCAACATCATGAACAATGATTGGGAAGAATTTTATATACTATTACACTGCCAAGGAGATGTGAAATGTAGTGAAGGAAACCTATTCAAATATGGATAATATGCTTGCGGTATTTGAGATAAGAGCATACTCCATGAATTGTGACAAGGTTATTTCTCACTCACTGAGTATTTTAATACAGTCAACCGACATTGACAGCAACTGGACATATATGAATTGGTAGAGAAAGATAGGATCTACAAGTTCTCATTGGGACTGAGCACAAAACTTGATGAAGTCCAAATTACAAGAAATTGGAACACACTAAGGACACCTGCTGGATTATTCATGGCAAGACTTCAAAGGAAAAACAGACAAAAAACTTGGGCGGCAGAGGCAACACAGCAAAGGTAAATTCTAATCCATCTCCATTCAGCAAGGAGCAAATGAAAACACTACAGAAAATTTTCCAGCAAACAATTGGTACAACTATAGTAGCACAAGATAATTTTTTGCATGCTCTAAATACTAGCATAAAAAAACCAAAATCATGGATCATTGATTCAGGAGCCTCAGATCACATTACTGGAGACTTAAACTGTGTTTGAAAGCTATACTCTTTGTCACAATAATTACACAATTCGGATAGTTGATGAGACTCTTTCTAAAATCATGGGTAAAGATTCAGTTATTATCTCACAAAATATTAACCTGAAGTTAGTCTATGTGTCTAAACTTGACTGTAATTTACTGTCCATTAACAAATTGACAAAAGATTTAAAGTGTGTCACTAAATTCTTCCCTAACCAATGTGAATTTTAGATTTTGGAGACAAGGAAGATGATTGACATTGCTAAAGAATGTGCTAGCGTCAGAGACGGAACCCAAGACCAACTCTTGTGTTATGGTACCTAAAAATAAAAATTATGTAATGTTGTGACACTGTCGATTTGGCCACCCAAATTTTATGTACTTAAAAAGAATGTTTCCCACATTGTTTAATAAAAATTAAGAGTTGTTTCAATATGAAATATGTCAATTGTTCAAACATACTTGCATATCATACTCGCATCAACCCTATAAACCCTCTCAACCTTTCTCCCTAATTCACAACGATATATGGGGACCATCACAGGTAAACAATATCACAGGATCAAGATAGTTTGTCACCTTCATAGACGATCACACACGGGTCACTTGGATATTCCTAATGAAGGAGAAATCAGAAGTTGGTAGAATATTTGAATTTTTTCATACTATGATGGAAACGTAATTTCAAAGTATGAAAACATTAGATCCAATCTGGGTATGATAGACATCTACCACCCAGATTGAGAAGGAGTGTTGAAGATCAAGCACTATCAATTAGAATAATTCAATTATGATAGAATTTAATGATAATATAATCGATTTTATTTCGTTATTTATGCAATTATGTACAATATTTATCTAGATTAGTTTATAAGTTTATTATCTTGTATTTTATTTATTCATCATTTCTATCTTTTCCAAAATAAAATAAAAAATACACGTAAACAATTTGATATGACTCATTTCAATTTTTTAATTTGTTGGGTCAAACTGGATTACTCAGGCAGCTCTAATTATAGTAAAAAACATATTGGCAAATACTTGTAGTGTAGCAATAATCTTCATTGTTTTTCGTGGCTTTCTTTTTTTATTAATTTATAACTAATGGCCAAATTCTAAATACAATTGAATTTAAGATTCTAACAAGTATCTTGAGAGTAATTTTAAGAATCTTATTACAGATATAATAAATATTTTTTTTGTTAAAAATAATCAAAATTACGTTATAGTTATGATTTTAAAACTAATTAATGCAAAAGAACAATAAACTTTTCCATAGACTAGTTTGAAACTGGAATAAGGCTTTATACTATAGATAAATAAAATATAATATTTACTCTTACAAACATGAAGGTTACAATAATAAATGAATAAAACAATTTCAATTAATGTCATAGAGTTATTATCACTCTACTAATTTTAAATTAGGTGCATACTTTTCAATATATCTTGGTTTCATTTTCGTCCTTCTAATATTAGTATAAATATGCAAGAAAAAGTCGTATTAAATTTGTATTAAATATGCAGGAAGTGTGACCAAGGAGGAGTATTGAAGGTGGCGATGTGATTTTGTTGGTGGAAAGATACCTCAATAATATTAAACGCCAGGAATCAAAGTGCTGAAATTAATTAATCAAATAAAAAAGAAAAGATGAGATAATTAAAAATAATGAATTACCCAGTCGAGGAGATTTTGCGCAGTGGCGTCGGTATCAAAGGATGAATTTCGGTGGCCAGTGACCAATTCCAACACCAAAACTCCGTAGCTAAATACGTCTGCCTTCACAGACAAATGTCCGTGCATTAAATATTCTGGAGCCAAATACCCACTGCATATCACATCATATTTCCTAAGTTACTCTCACCCTCATTATTATTATAATTGCATGAAACTATGGACGACATTACTATAACGTAATGGATTTCAACAAGTAATATTTTTTTATATTTAGTGCTCTATTTAACTTGTTCTAAACTTTTATAAAGGTAATTTTGGACGATAAATTTTATGTTGCTATAGATAACAGTGGACGTTGACTTTAGAGTAGTGGGGTGTATTGGGTAGAAAAGTTTATTAGGAAGAAAGATATGAAAAGTGTTCGGATTTTCGCTTAAGAGAGCCAAGAAGAAAATATGACTTCACATTATTTTTGTGGAATATGCAATTTCAATTCACGCTTAAATTGTATGAGAAACTTACTTGGTTCCAGCCACACGTGTATTGACGTGGGTTTGGTCTTCCGGGAAGAGTCGTGCGAGGCCAAAATCAGCTATCTTGGGCACCCATTTTTGATCGAGTAAGATGTTACTGGCCTTTATGTCGCGATGGATTATGCAGTTGTGAGAGTCTTCGTGAAGATAAAGCAAACCCCTTGCCACCCCACTGATTATGTCAAATCTCCGTTTCCAATCTAGCTCCTTTTTCTTCCCCGATTCTGCATCATTTTCAACAAATAATAATTCCCCGATTCATATTCTACTACTACTTTGCTTCATTTATTTTGCATTTGGAAAAAGGGGCAAAACTCACCCAGGTACAATTTTCAGAAAATTGATTAAAAAAAAAATCATAGAACATTTTTTTTATTTCAAATATTTAATTACAAGTATTTTATTTAATAAATTTCAATTTGAAAATGAATTTTAAAATCTAAAATACATAAAGCACTAAAATTTAGTTTAATTTTTTATTAGGTAAAGTATTTTTCGCCCTTATAAAAGGATTTATTTTCAGTAAATAAATAATTATAAAAATTGAGTCTTAGTTATAACAATATGATGCGAATTATTTAAAGCAATAAGACTTTTTGGAAAGAGTCTTAATCTAAAACCTAAATCTTATAAGAAAATTTCATTGAAACAATATGACGTAACGTGATGAGCGTCTTAATTAAAACTGAGCTTTAAATTATAAAAGTGAGTAAATCTCACCATTGAAACACAAATTAAAGTCTTAAAAATGTGACACGATACAATCGACTCGATGTAAAATAAGACATTATGATAAGGTTTTATAAGTAAATTGTATTGGAAATATTCTTGTGATTCTTTTAAGATATTTGTATTATAGATGTTATTAAAGGGATAATATATTTTTTTTTTCATTTTAAATTTAAATTTTGTAAATTGTAGTGAAGTTTGAATTTAAAAATTAGGTGAGGTACTAGGTCTGAGGAAGGCGTGATGAGAAAGGAAGAAGCACAAGAGTGTTGGTGAAGTTTGTTTGACTATTCTTGGAAGGTTCAAGAGTGTGGTACAACTTGAAAGTTTCCGGGTTACAAGTTGTGTGAATTTAAATTATTAAAAGGTTATCTGTGTATGAAATTAATTAATAACTTTGTGCATGTGAAGGTGAAGATGTTATAGTGCTGTCTCTTTCTAGTGTGTCCACAGGCTCGGGACAATACATACTTTAGACGACGACGGATGAAAAAGAAGGATGTTAGCACCACCATGTTCTAGTGATTAATTTTGAGATATTAAATAATATATTATTAATAAATAATAAATATAAAAAAAATAAAAAGGTGAAATAATAAAATTGTAGATATATACTTAAATATATTAAATAATGTATGAGAGAGAAAAAATCATAAATTATATGAGAGTTACAAAACTAAGGAAGGATTGAGAAGATAAAATTATAAATATACAAGTAAATATATTAAATTTTCATTAATTTTGGGAGGACCAAAATCATAAATTATATGGGAATTATAAAACTTTGGGAGATCACGACTCTTCGACTCTCAAGAAAATCCACCACTTACCACGACCATGGTTGCCAAGGTAATAAAAATAAGAAAAATAATAATTTGACAACCCAATCCATACAACTTTTATAAACAACTTTTTTTAATATTATAATAATAATTTTATTTTATTTTTATTAAATCATTTTATAGATTATTATATTAATAATAATTTTATTTTATTTTTATTTTTATTAAATCATTTTATAAATTATTAGAAGTGAATTATTTAAAGGATGGTATGGTTTCAGGTGTTAAAATATCACCATTCTACAAATAATGAAAAGTTAAAGAACAGAATATGAATATAGTGCAGGGAAGTCGCACAAAAAAGTCTTAAAACAAAAACCCGTTTATGTGGACACGATGGGAAAAACAAATCCCACCTTCACTAGAGAAAACATGTGTTTTGGATAAAGTAGCAGGATAAAGACGAAGAGGAAAAAAATTGATTCTGTGTATTTAATAAAAAGAAACAAACATTTATGTCATTTATTATATTTTTAATTAAATTAATTCACTTTCAAAATTCTCTCTCTCTTTTTTTTTTTTTTTTTTTTTTTTTTTTTAACTATCAAAAAATCGACAATTCATCAATTTTATTTTTCTTTTCTCAATTTATTTATTTTCTATTTTCATTCTCTCAAATTTTCTTTCTCAAAACCAAAGAGATATTCTATTGACCGTAGATAATGCGAGCTAGACTTAAGATTTCAGAAGTTCTTCTTTAAGAAAAAAATTATGAAATTATCAGCGGGTCAAGTCATCCATTGAAGTTAATGTAGGGAGAAATTAACACGTAATTTATATGAAATTTCACTGAAAAATATAAAATTTAGATTTATTGAGCAAAATCATAATTAAACATTTCATTATTAATTTTATTCTACATTTAATCTTGTTTCTAGATAAAAAAAATAATTCATTCTCTCCTTTTATTTTTATTTTTTTAATATTTCGTAAATATTTTTAAAAAATAAAAATGTTATCATATTACATAGTATTTTTTAAGAGAAATTTATTTCAATTAACTAATATTTTCCTTAATTTTAACCAACAATTCTTATTGAAAAAAAGGCTCTTAATTTCTAAGAAACTTTGATGAAGTTAATTGAAAAAAAGGCTCTTAATCTATTAAGTTAATGAAACTATTTCTAAAAAGAGAAATAAAAATAAAATATTATTTTATAAAGTAAAATTTTAAAATTTTCTATCATTCTTCACTTTTTCTTTGACTTCCCAAACCCAGCAGAAAACTGTATAACGATGGTTTTGGCAACATGTGACCATAGAAAATGTTTGGAAAAAATTAACCCACAGTAAAAATAATCCTTCTTCAAAAACAATTACTTTTATATCATGCTAGGATAGAATAAAAAAGAAAACCAGAAACAGGGAAAACAAAGTAATGCCTTTTGGTGGATTAGAAATCTAGTGATATATTTTTAGAGAGTAATATCTTTACAACTACGACTATACAACCCTTCACACAATTTATTTTTATTAATATAATAATACATATACTGATTTAATAAAAATAAAAATAAAATAAATTATTATTATAATATTAAAAGAGATTTGTTTATAGAAATGATATAAATTTAGGTTTTCAAAGTATCATTTTCTATATTTTTATTCTATTTAGCATGTGTTGTCTATTTCAAGTCTTTATTATTAATCTTATGAATGATGATATTTTGCCAACCAGAAACTATACAATTCTTTAAACAATTCATTTTTATTAATATAATTTAATAAAAATAAAAATAAATTAAAACTATTATTATAATATTAAAATAGAGTTGTATGGATTTGGATTTCCAAAATATCATTCTCCTACTCTTATTTGCATGCATTCTAGTTCTCTGTACCTACCCAAACAGAAGAAAATAATGGATGTAAAGAAGAGGATTTGGAAGAAAGACTCACCGAAGAGAAGCTTGTCGAGGCTCTTGCGAGGGACATACTCGTAAACAAGAAGCTTCTCGGAGGCATGGGCGCAGTAACCGATCAGATTCACCACATTTCGGTGCTGCACACGACCTAACAACTTCGCCTCGTTTATGAACTGCGTCTTCCCTTGATTCGATCTACGCGATAACTTCTTCACCGCAATCTCTCTACCGTCACTCAGTTTCCCCTTTAGCTCCAAAATTACACAAACATTAGAACCAGTGTAACATTTTTTGCGTACCAAGTAAAACCAAAAATTAGTACCAATTCTTCCGTGTTGAACTTTCTCCAATGTTATAATATACAATTTGTACACCTTCTGGGTACAGAAAATTAACAGAAATGCTTAAAATTCATTTTGCAGAACCACTTAGCCTTAACTTAAGATTATACCTTTTTTTTTTACAAATATTCTTTTCAATCATTACTTTTTGTTAGAGTTAATTTCAGTTTATGTATTTTTAAATTAACTAGTCCTTCAACTCTTAAAATTATATGAATTTAATCCTTTTTCTATTTCATCTGTTCTTTAATCACCCTTTTTTTACCTTTACAAAGTTAAGAAAAATGACTCTATTTATATATATTTTTTAAAAGTTTATAACTAATTCATCAGTTTATAAATTCCCATTCCAAATTTAAAAAGATTTTTCCCTTTCTCTTTCAAAGCAACAAATTGTTCTTCGTTATTTATGCATTGAAACTCATAATTATGAGTTAGAATTCACAAATACTTTTCAAATTTTAAAGCAAAGATTACTTTTCTATGTGTCTACATGCAAACCTTTGTCCTGGAACAAGTATATGACGATTATTCTATGTCCTCGTGTGGAAATTGAGGCAAAAAATACATATACTTTCATTTTTTTAAATCATAACCAAACATTTATTTTAATTCAGTTGAATTTTTTAAAAGGAAAAAAACTCGAATAAAGTATCTCACATGTGGTGTATGCTGTTTTTTTAATTAAAATTGAAGTCTTACTTACATAATAAAGATTTATGTTAAAAGATCACAAAGATTAGAGAAATGGAACTTCAATTCTAATCGAAGAAGAACCTATATAGTAATTAAGACAGTATTTTATGCCTTAGTTTTCTCCTTCAGATAATTAAATCTTAATCAACTCAAACATGAAAATCAATAAAGATTGGTAATTGAATTACCTTATAAACGGGTCCAAATCCTCCCTCACCAAGCTTGTTAAGAATGTCAAATTGGTTTGTAGCAGCAACCAATGTTTCGTAGGGGAAGATCTTGTTCTCCTGTGCAGCTAAGTTCTGTATATCGTCTTCGCTTTGTTCCTCTAATCATACACAATAAGTCTATAATTTTATGATGGTCGGAAAAAAAAATTCAGAAAGTTATTTAACAAAAAAAAAAAAGTGGATTCGTTGTCGCTTTACCTTTACTGGAACTGAATTTGAAGGGCTTGATGAGATTGTGAAAGAAAGTGCTGGGTTTGGTCATGGCGCTCTACGGCATCCAAATGAGTCCATGAAACAAAAAACAGAGGAATTCTTCGAGCGGAAACTGGTGCAAGCGATTTTGGGAACTGAAAAAGACGAAGAAAAGTTTGGGAATGGAAGAAGCTTTTATCGCATGAATGGGCAAATTCACTTTTTGGTTATGAAAGAATGGAAATGATAATTTATAGTGGAGGCGTGTTGGCTTGGCTTTGTTCACATTGACCCTGTGGGTGACCCATTGTTGACATTTTTTTTTCCCACTTTTTATTTATTTATTATTATTATTATTATTATTTACAGTCCAGAAAAGTCTTCCTTGGAAAAAGAGCTCTCACACGTTAAAATTAGGTTAACGGTAAATGAAAGTAAAATAATTTTAATATTTACATTCACATGTCATATTTCTAAACATCCATTTCAAATTAGATATTGTTCCTCATCTAACACTTCATTTTTTTTATCTTTTTATCTTTTTATTATTATTATTATTATTATTGTTATTATTATTATTATTTACTTTTTATTATTTATTTATTTCTTTTAAATATTTCTCTTATATAACTTAAAATAAAAAACTTAGTAAATCATTGAAAAAATTATACTTTCAAAATAATTTAAAATATATTTAAATATTTATCTTAATTAATAATATAGTTTAATTTAGATCTAAATAGAATACATATTTTAAATAAATGAATTCTTAAATTATAATTTAAATTAAAATAAATATTTTAAAAATTATAAAGACTATGAAAATCGACTAAATAATTTATTAATTAATACGAAAAATAATTTATTATATAAACGTGATCCAATAATTTATTAAATATGAACAAAATTATAAATTATTTATTTATTTAAAATGTTAAATTCTACAGCATTTATTATTAAAATTGTATTATTTATAGTTTTTAAAATTTTTATTTTGGTTTAAAATAATTTAAAATATATTTAAGAATTTATTTTATTTAAAAAATATTTTTTATATATATATAAATTAAATTAAATTATTATTCAAAGTAAACTCATGAATATATTTTAAATTATTTTGAAGTATACTTTTTTTAGATTACTTATGAAAAATTAATTATAAAGAGAGAAATTAAAAGTGAAAGAATAAGTTCAAGTAAAGTGAAAAAAATTACATTTTAAATAGATGTATATCAATGTGACCTGTTAAGTGTGTCCATGCACTAATTACTCAGTGTACACTCTCTGTTAATTTTTTTTTATGTAGAAGTTAAGATAAACTAATTAAAACTCAAATTGTAAGTAAGGATATAATTAATATTACTTTTAAGATCAACACAAATAATTAAAAAAAAATAATAGTTGAAAAAGAAAGAGAATATATTTATAAACAATAAATTGTTCTTCCAATGAAAAAGAATATTATAAAAATCTAACTCAATTTTAACTTAATTAAAACTATTCTTTCCCACATAATCAACCAACTAGATTATATTAATTGTATTTTGATCATTTAGGAATATGCAAAGTATACATAGCTAATATGATATAGGTGTCACAACAAACCATTCGGGAGTTATATTTGAAGATAACAAAGTTGACATTCATCCCAAATTCAACACAAATAATATAATATGTCATACTATAATTTAATTTATTCACCTTTGTTCACAGTTCGATATTCCCTTTGTGTCCACCACGATCTCCCACCACCTGAGTTTGTGTATGCTATTCAAATACTCATGTGGAAAGTATTATGAAGATATCATTTGAGCCAAGACAATAACCATGCCTGCACTGGATATATTAGTAGGATGCACATGAGTTCTAACAACAGAACGTATTAGGTGTGTTGCAAGAAATTTGTGTAAGTACCATTGTTCTTATGAAACCGTGTCTGTGTCTCACTCTCCTATTTTGGTATCTATGTCTATAAATTGTGCAAAATAGAACATGAATTAATCAGAGAAGGTGGCATCAAATGTAAGTCTTTCCGAGCTTTGTTAGCAGATTGTCCTTGAACAGTATCATCTTATTACATAAACCAATAATATGTCAGACAATATTTTGCTTCTGATTATATCAGATGAAACCATTTAACATATCACATTTGGCATAGGGTCACTTTTTAATCTCCATAACTGGACAAAAATATTGAAGATCTCTTTTGATAGCAATTGTGCTTCCAATTCTTGGTACAACCTTCCTGCCAGAGTATATCCATGTGTTCAGGCGCATATGCATGAAGTTGTCATCAAACATTGATTAATCTCTTAATCAAATTTGACAATAACTAAGAATTTAATATTGTTACAACATTGTTCTTAAGGTAAAACACAATATACATACTTAATATCAACAAGAGTTACAGAGCAAATTTGGATCTCATGAACTGATACAACAAATTAAGATTAAATCAAAACATCTACATGTATTTTGCACTTCATCATCTTCATTGAATTGGAATGCAAACAATAATTGAGAGGTTTAATAATTGTCAAAGAGATTAATGTTGTCATGGGAGAAATCATTGCGAGTCATTTGAAAGTTTGGCCTTTTTTGTTGGGAATTTGGTCATGAGAATGACTTGGTGTACTCTTCTGAGTATTAAGATAATTTTGTGGCCAAAATAACTTAGCAGGTTAACTAATTTTCCTAGCATTACATTGACAACTCACAAAATTAATCGGCACTTTAACAGTAAAAATAGATAGTTCCGTACCTTAATGGAGTCCACTGAATCATTCATGGCAAATAGATTAGTCTTGTCATTCTTATCAGAAATATCTTTGGGGTTATTTGATGGTATGGCCTTTTTGTTGAGAATTTTGTCATGAGTTTTACTTGTTACAGTCTTGTGGATTCCCAGGGTGCTCAAGTTTACTGATAAGTCTTTATTGAGGGGTGATTTCAACTTAGTCAAAGAGCTACAAACATCGCGTCATGACTTTTCTACTTCATCAGAACGAGCTATTACTTCCTGTTACATCAATATCAGTATCAATACTAGCAAACATGACTCATAACATCATATATGTAACATAAGTTCCTAAAAATAACAATCACAAGTCATTTTAGTTTAAATCATATGGACGACTACATTCTTAATTCTAGCTGTTATCAATCTTGTAGTATAGTAAATTTCAGGAGTAAATCACACACTCAACAAAAATGGTACAATGTACAAATAAACCACTAATTTCATCATATTATTTTTGTTAAACTACAGATACTACTTATTTTTTGAAGTACTAGCAATTATATGCAATCCTTCAAATGTTAAAAACACTTTCAATCAATTCCTAAACTTTATTAAAATACACCAACCAAGAAACTAAAGTGATGAATATTCAACACTTCAATTACTAGCATAGTTTTCTTATTTAGGAACCACAAAGAGGAGAAGGTGATAGTTTGAGGACGAAATTGATAGTTTATTCCACAATTTATAGTACCATTTTGTTGGTGCACATCAAGGATAATCCTAACCAGATGTTATTTCCTTTCAAAAGTAAAGTTCGTCAACGTGGGTTTTGCTTCTTCCAATTTTTTTTTTTTTTTAAATATGGCCAAAATCAAATTCCTGGCATGCTTCAGTAACTGTTCGACTTTGTTAGAACAGTTTATAGTACAATTGACAAATATAACTTCATCAATAACTTTATAAAACCATTATATTTCTAATGCCAATGGTTATCAAAATCTGCACTTTACTGGTAAAAGAAAAAAAAAAGATAGTTTCATATACCTGAGCTTAGGCCATTGCTGCGTTCATGGTAAAGACTAGGCCCTTGATAACCACTATCACACTCACAAAACCAATAGTTAGCTAAGCATTTAATTTTTTCAAACTTCACCAGAACAAAATCTTAATCATAACCACGAAATGACCTGCTGCGTGTCCCCAATAGTCTTCTGAAAATCAGTATGCCCTTTTGCGCCTCTTGATTTGAACTATTGTGGTACAGAAACAGATGATTAAATGGGTCACTGAACTTACTCTATCATTGAGATTAATTTTCAATAGGAAAAAAAGGTATGAACCCCAAACCTTAAACCCACAAAGTTCATCAAGTGGAGAACAGCTTAAAACTCCAAGCGAGATGAAAGGATCCTTGTTTGGTTTCCATAGATGAGGAGTTTTGTCCTGTAGCGAAGATACATGCACAAAAATGTGTTGGTGGGGGAGTAGAAAGGTTATATAGGATGATTATATTATGGTGGGAAAATATCTCATTGCTCAAGTGATTTTATTACAGTTCTTTAAATTTTAATGTAAATTCTTATTAGATTATTGAGACATAAATTTTAATAGTTTAATAAAAATGATATTAATGAAGAACGATATTGAAATATTGATGAGGTTAAAATTATTGTTGAATGAGATTTATTATTTTCTTAGAAGTTATGAATGATGGAGAGAAATACAACAAGCATAACTTAAAAACATTAATTCATTTAGAATTTTGGTTTAATTTAAAAAAAATACTATTAAAATGTTATTTTAGACTAAATTAGTTAAAAGAATAATTAATACATATCACATATAAATTAATAAAAAAACAAAAAGAGAAAGAATATTAAAGAAATTATTTTCAAAACAAGTTTTCTATGAACTAAAAAAAAAAACTTATTGTTTTCATCTTTTATTTTCTTGAATTGTTTAGAAGACATATTAAAAAAAAAACCAGAAATATACTTATGACATGTTAAATTTAAAAAATAGTTATGGAAGAGCACAACAGAACAAAAACACACACTATTTTATTACATAATAAATTATAAGACAATTTTTGTTTCAAACACACTCTACAGGTAAACATAAAAGAATATTACATTTTTTCAAAACCAGACATTTTTAATTTCTGTTCTGGCATAATAATATTGGATAAATGCCTGTTAATTTAATAATAATGTAAAAAATTATAAATTAGTCTTTTAAATGTTATAACGTCTTTGATTTAATGGTATAATATTGATATATTTTAATGACAAAATGTCTCACTATATAATGATAACTTTTACGTATTATTGAATTAAATCAATTTTTATTTTCAAGAATTACATTCGCAACATATACATTAAAGATCAAATCAACCCTTTACTTAATAATTATAATATTGTATATTAATTATTATTGTACGTCTATACAATATATTTACATGATATATAATATAACTTTTATATATATTCTTTTATATTGAAAATAACACTTTAATTGTATTTTTCCTCGATAATAAAAAATTGTCCATTAATTTAACTATTTATTATATATGTATGGATAGAGTTATAAAAATAGGTTGTCTTTATTGTTTAATCCTACTAGTTAAGAAAAAATTGAATTATTCCACCCGAATTATATTTTAATCAAAATTTTGTAGTTTAATCTAATATTGTGTTAGAATAACAAATTAATACTTAAATTATTTGATTATTTTTTTTACAATAATATTAATATATTTATACTAAATCAATTAATTAAAAATATTTAAATAAAAATAAAAAATAAAAATATGTTTTCAAAATTTAATTTTTATTAATAAAATTATTTTTTTATTTATTATATAATGATCTAATATATAAATTATAAGAGAATGTATCCATTTAATCTCAAAATGAAAATAAAAAACTTCTTTTTTATTATTATTATTTAATTAATTTTTATTAATTTATTAATTTAAAATAGTAATTAATATTAATCATTAGATTTTGAAATAAATGATTATTAAAGATTTATTTTAATCTTTATTCTTAAAATAAATGAATATCTTGTCAAATTAATTTATTTTATAAAATGAACCCGTCCATAAACCTTAGTCTTTTTATGTAGGTCATGATTTACCTAGGTTGTATCAAAATAAACCTAATTTAATTTAGACTATAATTTTTTTTTTTGCGTAACCTAACTTATTTTTCGAATTTTTCAGGCCAACCATTTGGGTTAAGCCTATTTTAACACTCATATATATGTATGATTCTTGCTTCCTACACCCCATAATTGTTTTTCTACACCTTCATACCCCAAGTCAAATACTTAAAATACCCATCCCATAATTTTGTTTTTTACCCTAACTTCTTCTATTTGTATACAACTTCTGAACCTTCATCCCTCAGCATCTCCATCTCTTGCTACTTGATTTTTTTGTGCTATCACTTCCATTGAACGTATTTTCTAACAATTAAAGGTAAGTAATAGTTAATATTATGTATGAATTACATGTTTCTGGACTCAAATTACACAAATAAGCCCACGTTGCTTAATCTGAAATAGTATCGTGAAAATGAGACTGAATTTTAGAACATCCAATCCGGAATGAATTTTCGGATTGACTTTTCCAGAAATGCATTATGGAACACCCATTTTGGAATGCGTTTCCGGAAAAGTCAATTAGAAATTGCATTCTGGATTGGGTGTTATTAAATGTATTTCTAGAAAAAGCTAATCCGAAAATACATTATGGATTGGATATTCCGAAAAAGCCAATTCGGAAATGTATTTCAAAACATCCAATTTAGGATACATTTTCGGATTTACTTTTTTAGAAACGCATTCCGGAATAGATGTTCTAAAATGTGTTTCCAGGGAGGTCAATCCATAGTCCATTTCAAAGATGAAGATAAGTATAAGAGTAAAATAAGGTTTAATTTAATTATGGGGGTGCATGGACAAATTATGGGGGTATAAGAAGAAAATACCTATATATAAATCATAATAGTATACGTAAATATTTTTAATTATTGAATAAAAATAAAAATAATATATATAATTAACTTATGTATCTTAAATAATAAATATGTTTTCTAAATTTTATTTAAAATATTCTTTATTACCTCAATTATATTAATTAATATTTTTTTAGTGTTAAACTAACTATAATTAATGATCATTAGTAAAAAAATATTAAATAACATCATATATTTAAAACTAACAAATATATTGTAGATTTTTTTTTCAATTTTTTTAAGATTAAAAACATGCGGAATTATACGTTGATGGACTAAAAAATATTATATATACATTATGTATATTAATTAATTATGTATCATGTATAGGATGAATAAGTTAGTTTATTATAAAAATAGGATGAATAAAGGAGTGTTTGGATTAGTTTATTTTAAACAATAATTATATTTGCTCGGTTGCATAAGAACTTGATTAAAAAAAAAATCAATATTTTCTCAAAATCAACCTTTCTGAAACATGGTATATAATCTTAAAAAGAATGCTATAATAAAGAACGAAAACGATACTTTGACAACCGAAAAAAAACATCTCTTTGACAACTGAGGCCAAAAATAAATTAATTAAAAATAAGGGTTTGATTAGTAAAATTGTAGGGAGTCAGAGATGTAATATTGTAAAAATGGGGGATGTTATGGTAAAAAGTGAAATATATGTTTGAAGAAGGTAGAGTATTTTTCGCTTGACACATTCTCACTCGACTTAGGGTAAATTTTCGCTTGTCTTCTCCATCTCGCTCTTCACGGCGCTCGACTTCCTCTCGCTTGTCTTCCTTGTTGGACTCTCGAGAATATAGAGAATAAAATGCAGAAAGAACAAAAATGTTTATTCACTCCTTTGAATCATAGAACTGGCCAATATTTGTAGCCTTACATAAGAAAACTGAAAAACTACCTATGCGCATATCACGCTGCATATCTACGCTCTGTTTCCTAATAACAAGGTGAATATTTTATTCATTCAACAAAATCATAACTGCTCCTAAATATAGGTAACCACGTTACTCACTAACAAATCCTCCCTTAAACTGAATGCTATATCAGTTTATATCAGATTCTTCACATACTCCCAATGACCTGCGAAACTTTACAAAGGTATCCAACTTAAGTGGTTTAGTCATAATATCAGCCACTTGTTCTTGTGTTCCACAATGTATCATCTTGACAGCTCCAGTTTTTGTAAGATGTCAGAGGAAGTGAAATCGAACATCAATATGTTTACAACGCCCATGCATTACTGGATTTTTTGACAACTTAATGGCAGAGCTGCTATCACATTGAATTATAATAGCAGCTTGTCTTTGCATTCCACACAATTTTCCCAACACCCTTTCCAACCATATAGCTTGACAAGTACATGATGCTGCAGCTATAAACTCTGCCTCTGTAGTGGATAAACTCACAATTGGTTGTTTCTTTGAGGACCAAGAAACAGCAGCTGAACACAATAAGAAAACATACCCCGAAGTACTTTTCCTATCATCCAAATCGCCTGCATAATCACTATCGGTGTAGGCAATAAGTTCATTGTTTCCTCCCTTCTTATAAAAGATGCCAAACTCAGTTGTTCCCTTTAAATATCTTAACACTCGTTTGGCTGCCATCAAATGCAACTCAATAGGATTCTCCATGTACCTGCTAATAAGATTCACCACAAACATCATATCGGGTCTAGTAGATGTTAGATACATAAGACTTCCTACAATTTGTTTTGTAGTGAGTCTTGTCCACCTTGACACCCGTAACATCCTTTGTAAGTTTAACACCAGGAATGATTGGGGTCTGCACTGGATTGCTTTTATCCATTCCAAATCGCTGCAATATTTCTAACGCATATTTCTTTTGACATAAGAAAATGCCATCGGTACGTTGCTTTACTTCAAGACCCAAGTAATACCTCATTTTACCAAGGTCTGTCATAGCAAACTCATGTTCCATGGAGCTTTTGAATTTTTCAAACATCAACTCATCATTTCCAGTAAAAATAAGATCATCAACATACAAACTAACAATTAATATTGTACCTTCCTTTTCCTTCTTCACAAAGAGAGTATACTCGTAGTCACACTTCTCAAATCCTTCTTTCAAGAAGTATGCTTCTATGCGGCTATACCATGCGCGTGGTGCTTGTTTAAGCCCGTAAAGAGCTTTCTTTAGCTTATACACTTTCTCGCTCAGCCCCTTTTTTACATAACCACAAGGTTGGTCTACATACACTTGTTTCTTCTAGTTCTCCATGTAAAAAGGCTGACTGTACATCTAGTTGATAGAGTGTCCACCCCTTTTGAGCTGCAAGTGCTACCACCAAGCGAATTGTTTCCATGCGGGCCACTTGGTGCAAATACTTCGATGTAATCTACCCCATATTCTTGTGCATACCCTTTCACTACAAGCCTGGCTTTGTACTTGTCTATTTCACCATTCTCTTTGAGTTTGGTCTTATAAATCCACTTCACGCCAACTTTCTTTGCTCCATCGGGTAAATCCACCAACTCCCATGTGTCATTTTTGTTTATTGCGGTCATCTCATCATCCATGGCTTTCCGCCATTTTTGAACTTGTACCGCAGTAGCAAAGTTTGTGGGATCACTTTCACCGAGTTGCAAACATAGTCAAATTAGCTTCTGGACTATCTTCAAAAACTCCTTCGCCGGTTCATAATCTGCCATCCAAAGGGGTGGTCTTCTACATCTTTGAGTGGGACTTGAAGTATTTTCTGCTGCCATAGAATCGGAGGAAATAATATCCTCTTCTAGTGTTGGAGGATCGAGTGCTTGGAGTATTAGGAGACACTTGATGGTCTACATCTACCGTCTCATGTTCGTCATTGGTTTCATTTGTATCAACGTGCACAGCTTGATCACAATCTCCCCAATCTAAGTCACATAAGATAGCTTCTGCATATTTCTGGTCCCACTCCCAGCCTTTATCTTCATCAAAGACAACATCGCGGCTGATGATGATCTTTTGTGAAATTGGATCATAAAGTTTGTAAGCTTTTGATACTTCACTAACGCCCAACAAAACACAACATTGACTTTTATCATCATGCTTGGTACGTTTAGCATCAGGTACATGAACATGCGATAAACATCCAAAAACTCTAAAATACTTAACTGAAGGCTTGATTCCACTCCAGGCTTCTTCCGGTGTTTTATTTCTTACAACTAATGTGGGACTCCGATTCAAAATGTGAACCGACCAGGCGGCAACTTCAGCCCAAAAAGTTTTGGGCATCTTTTTCTCTGAGAGCATGCTTCGAACCATGTTCATAATGGTTCTGTTCTTACGTTATGCAATCCCGTTTTGTTGTGGAGTGTATGCAGCCGTCAGCTGCCTACGAATACCATTGTTAGAGCAAAAATCGGTGAAGGCCTGAGAGGTAAACTCTCCCCCACGATCAGTCCACAGACATCTGATTAATGAGTCAGCTTCTTTTTCAACATGGCTTTTAAAAGTCGTAAAGATAGAAAGAGCTTCTGATTTTTCAGTCAAGAAATAAATCCAAGTTTTCCTACTAAAATCATCAATGAAGGTGAGCAAATACCTTTTTTTACTGTGAGAGATAGGTGTGATTGGTCCACAAATATCTGCATGAATTAGTTGCAAGACCTGTGTAGCTCTCCAAGTGCTTTTCTTTGGAAAAGAATCTCGTGATTGCTTCCCAACCAAACAATCCTTGCATATTTTCGTATGTGCTTTCATCATTGGCAAACCATGTACCATATTTTGCTGATATAACGTATTTAGACCCCGAAAATTCAAATGTCCATATCTACAATGCCAAAGATGCATTATATCCTCTGAAACTGTGTGGAAACAAGTTGATTTGATAGGTGGAGAGGTTGCATGCAACACAAACATGCGATTGGAAGACATTTTGGTTTCCATAATTAAGCCATTATCAGGATGAAACACTTTGCACTTGCCATGCTGAAAAAGAATACTAAGACCTTTTTCTTGTAGTTGCCCAATACTAAGTAAGTTTTTCCTTAAATCTGGCACAAAAAAGACATCAGAAATAGTATAAGTGTTACCATTTATGTGTATTCGAACATTGCCTTTGCCTGCTACAGCCAAACTAGAATTGTTGCCCAGCTTGACTGAATCTTTGTAATTTTCATCAAGAGTTGAAAAATATTCCTTCTTCCCGCACATATGATTGCTGCATCCAGAGTCAAGGAACCACATAATG